TGCACAGCGCCTCTGTCTACCCATCCTCGTAGCCAGCACAAGGAAGTTTCAGCGTCCTTAAGTCGTCCCTGAGCTATCAGCCATATTGGAGATTCTGGAACCTGGAGGATAGACGGATATAATGTGCGCAGTGGTGAGCATTTTCATTTTATTTAATATCCAATCTAAAAACAGCTAAAAACCCTGCCCTAGTCGTAAGTTAATAAGAAAGAAATTTACATTTAACTAAGTGAATGTTTATGTTGTAAATTGTGGCATTCTGGGTTGTAGTGTTGCAGGTGGTTACTACCAGTTTTACCCTGAAGATGGAGGCGATAAACTTTGGTAACCACTTGCAAGACCACAAGGCGTCACATTCTAAATGATCACAATCAGTCTGTATTGAAGGAGAGTCAGGCGTCTGATACCATTTAATATGATACATTGTGTTAGGTAGAAATTGTTTACGGTACATTAGTCTAAGTAGTGGAGTAATTCTGCATTGGACGTACGTAGTTTTGACAAGGATTTTAGTGTGGGGACGATAAAACAGTTATCAAAACGTCCGCTGATTTATGCATCACAGTCGGAACCTTTCTGTTATCAAGCACCCAAAAAGTTGTTTATTCAAATATTCCAGGGTGGTTTCTAACCCGTAAATTTCCTTCCAAATACGGTACTGGGAAATGATTACGCTTGAAGATATCACAGACTTTATCTGTGAGGAATTCAGAAAACTATGAAAATTTAAGTACCTATAAAATCAAGATATGAAATGAATACTTCCGGATGTTAGCCAGCTTCATTGGTGCTGAGATTGCATCCTTGGTAAGAGCATATGGGGTTGATAATACAGAGAACTACGTTATCATTCACCTGGCTGATCATTATCATCGTCACGACAGGGATCACAGCTACGACTCCAGCAGTAACCCTCCAGGTCGTAAGGCTACCCAGAACAAACAGCACGAACATCCCCACCTGGTAGAATATCGCTGCAACACATTCACCACGACACTGCAAACACGTGAAGGCGCACATCCGTTTTTACTACAATGTAATCGGTACTGTCAATACCTGCGCTGCCGGCCAGGATACTGCGGAGCTCTGGCTGGCAGATCTCGCCGAAGTAGCTGTTGATCGGCGCCTCGGTGAAACCGACTGTGGTTCCCAGCAATACGTTAGCCAGAAAGAGTACAGTGATCGAGGGGGCCGTACTGATAAGTACGTACCCCACGAAGTATGGAATATTGATGAGCATCAGAGATCTCTTGCGGCCAAGCCATTGCACTACGAACCCCGATAATATGCTTCCAACTGGCTGACAGAAGAATGGCAAACTGCCTGTAAAGATCACGAAGATAAGTAGCCATGTGCTGAGAAATATCACTTAAAGGTGGAATGATAAATGTGACTGACCCACAATGCCTCACGTCAAATGAGTAGAGTTTAAAGGAAAAAGGGATTAAGATAACAGCGTTGTTACACCTCTTGTTAAAATCTTATCGAAGATCAACTTTAAATCTCACCGAACCAGGAAGCCAACGTGTCATCCATGGAGAGCTCTGCGTCCGAGTGGTGCACTTCGGCGATGACGAGGGTGGAAAGGAGGAGTGCCAAGGTCAGGTTTATAACCACCATGTTCGCTGCACCCATCGCTAGCACCTGGAACACACAGGTCTGGTGTAATTTCTACTCAAACTAATGATGATTTATCGCAGTGAGTTTAATGATTAATTAGATTAAGTAGAGCCCTTGAGAAATCAACAGTACGCTCAGTTAGTCAAGATACTCGTCTGCTTTTATGGAACCGAAGCCTCTCCGTTCAGACCGACCCTGGGGTCCGCCCAGTTTCCTATCCAATGGGTAGCGAGGTCATTTTCTCGGGGGTAAAACACGGCCGGGGCGTGACGCTAACCACTCACCCCCCCCCCCCCCCGGCG